TCATGGGTTTGCCATAAATTGACAAGCGACCTGAAGGTGCACACCCACCTATACACACATACACACACACACAGAGCAAATCCACATTCTTGGAGGGCCATATTTCATTGAAGGCAGAGCCAAAAGAAAAAGAGATGGGATAAACAATTACAGCCTATTTTATTTGAAAGCTCTTATTTCCAGCTTTAGCCGAGGGAATTGGTGTACAAAGGCAGAGAAACCACCAACTGGTCACCATCACAGGCAAGGCAGCATGGCCATCTGGGGAAGTTCCAACAAGGTTGGGTTAACATGGTTGGGGTAGAGATGGAAAGAAAAGGCAGTATTGTACACCAGCCACTTAGTTAAGTATATTTAACTTAGGGGGGAAGCACACGAGTGCTTCCAGGATGCCGCCGGACGCAGTGCCGCAGGACCGCAGCCTCCGCACCACGGCGCTCCTGCGGCGTCCCTAAAAGGAGCACTTTTAGGGCGCACTTTCCCTGGCTTTTCCGCCACAGTGCGTGCGGTTGCTGCGGCGGGTGGTTGCCCTGGGAGAGCCGGCCATGCGGAGGGCCGGCAGCTCCGAGGGCAACCTCAGGAAGAGGAAGAAGCGCCGCGCGTGCGGCTGCTCCTCCTCTTCCTGGCCTCGGAGACGGCTCTTTAAGCCGTCTGCCGAGGCCCTAAATAAGGTCTCCTGGCCCATCCTTGCTCCCAAACTGATGGAAACATTATTCACCTGTGTCCCAACTGTCGTCAGAATGAGAGATCTCCTTCTCCCCACAGGGCTGATGTCTGGCAACGTAGGTTGGGAGGAAGTTAAAATTGTGACAATACTCTCACAGTTTGTTATAGAATCATAGAGTTGGAAGAGACCCCAAACACCATCCAGCTCAATTCCATTCTGCCATGCAGAAACCCACAATCAAAGCACCCCCAAGAGATGGCCATCCAGCTTCTGTTTAGAAACCTCCAAAGGAGGAGACTCCACCACTTTCCGAGGAAGAGTGCTCCACTATCAAACAGCTTTCACTGTCAGGAAGTTCCTCCTAATGTTGAGGTGGAATCTCTTTTCCTGTAGTTTGCATCCGTTGTTCTGGGTCCTCTTCTCTGGAGCAGCAAAAAACAAGCTTGCTTTATCCTCAATATGACATCCCTTCAAATATTTAAACAAGGCTACCACATCACCTCTTAACCGTCTCTTCTCCAAGCTAAACATACCCAGCTCCCAAAGTCTCTCCTCATAAGGCATGTTTCCATAACCTTCACCATTTTGGTTGCCTTCTCTGGACATGCTCCAGCTTCTCAACATCCTTTTTGAATTGTGGTGCCCAGAAATGGACACAACATTCCAGGTGAAGCCTGACCAAAGCAGAATAGAGTGGCACTTTACTTGATCTAGATACTATACTTCTATTGATGCAGCCTAGAATCGCATTCGCCTTTTTAGCTGCTGCATCAGACTGTTGACTCATGTTCAACTTGTAGTTTACTAAGACTCCTAGCTCCCTTTCACACGTAGTCTTGTTAAGCCAGGTGTCCCCCATCCTATAACTATGCCTTTCATTTTTCTGCCCTAAGTGCAAAGTGTTGTGTGCCTTCAAATAGTTTCTGACTTATGGTGACCCGAAAGCAAACCTACCATAGCAAGACTTATTCAAAGGAGGTTTGCCATAAGACGGAGTCAACCTGAAGGCACATAAAGTATGTAGTGTGAGGAATTTTGGAATTTGAGACCTGCTATTTGGCAGTGTTTGTAGTGACACTTGAAGTTTGAGGTCTGCTCCTTTGTAATGTGCAAGGGGCCTGTGTGGTGCCATGGTTTGAGAGTTGGACAAGGACTCCGGGAGACCTGGGCTCAAATATCCAATCATCCATGGAAACCCACTGGGTGGCTTTGGACAAGTCACACTCTCCTAGCCTCAGAGTAAAACAATGGGAAAGCTCTGCTGAATAATTCATCCAAAGGAAAACCCTAAAAATGGGGTTGACATAAGTCGAAGTCAGCATGTAACAACAACATGAAAGCATGCTTTCCTGACTTGGGATGGAAAGAAGTCCCCTTCCTCAAACTCTACTTCTCTTCTTTGCCAAAAAGAAGGAAGAGGAATACATGAACGGGGAGCCTACATGATGCTTGCATAGTATGCATCTGTCGCCATGTAGTTAAGTGGTGGTTGAGCTATTCCACCCTTCTGCTGAACACCAGCATTGTGCAACCATGTAGCTGCAAATGCTCTTGTTATTCAGTACCTTGGATAGCTCCCGAACCTTCCTGTTGCTACTTCTGGCTCTGGTTTTTGAGGGTTTTTGAGAAGGATTTTTAGCAATCTGTACAAGCAATGGAGAACTCTAGGGGCGGAAAATTGGCCCCCAAATCCTCAGCAGGTGCCTACCCCTGTGCTATGGTAACACTGGCTCATTGGTATGAGCGAGATCTTTTTTTCAGACTAGCATAAAGCAACAGGTAAAAAGGGTTGTCATGGAAATTGTTGTGAAGAGCAGCTAGAGATAGAAAGTGGAAAGTGAATAATATCACGCCAGGGTTGGTGGAGGGTAGATTCAGATCTCTGGTTGATCTGAAATAATGTGGCAGGAATGTCAGAGGTCCGTTGTTTCAACACCTGTAGCCATCCAAAGACACACCACCCCCCTCCTCAACTTGCCAATTCTATTGTTGGAAAGAAAACTATTTGGGTGAGGTGGAGCAGACTTTTTTTTACACATCAGTGGTGTAATTTTTCATTAATTTTGTTTTCAAAGGAAGCAACAAGTCCTTTAGCAACTTCCTTCTCAGTGTCAAAAACTGTGCCATTTCTGAAGACTATTCACAGTTCGGCACTAATTCTTCACAACATTCAGATGTTGTATTTTTGTACAGAGCACAGTGATTCTGTGCAGGAAACAGGATTTTCTGTGCCATAACAACAACAACAACAATTCTCTGTGTAGATAGTGTTCTACGCAAAACATTATGACCTGCACAGAAAATGTTGTTTCCGCCACAGAAATAATGCTGCAGATGGGTACTTATTCCAAGCAAACTTTGTGTGCATTGTGTGCAGAAAACGGAAAATGCTGGGTTTTGCACAAAAATGTGCAAATCTTACACACAAAAAGCCCTGGATTGTGAAGTTTCTTCTCAGTCCCTGACTCTCCTTGCCATGGTTCCCCAGTACTTGAGAATACTTGCCTGATCTAGAGAAATCCCTTTCCATCCTTTCAAAACACAACAAATACTTTCTTTCATTATTCACTAAGCTGTTACCTAGTTCCTGGTGGGCAACTGAAGAAGGGCTGGAGGCCATTTCTTCCCCTCCATCCTGCACCCACCAAATTTATTTTGGTGCACTGGATATCATATAACATCACTCCCAGTCATTACTTGGGCTGATTTTCAGCTCATTTCTTCTTCTTTTGGTGAGGTCTCTGTGGAGCAAGGGAAGCAAAGGACTGCTTGGCAGGGGATTTGGGGAGTTTGGAAACCCATGTGAAGGGTTGGCAAACCATGGGTGCAAGAGGGATTGAAGAGGGGAAACAGCACTGGTGGCAAGGGGGGGGGCTCCCATGTCAGTGGGATGATGAATCCACTCCATATTTTAATTTTGACCCCTAAAAGAACTGTCTATGATGCTGAACTCTCACTGTGTTTCAGCACTTTGGATAGCAACTCAAAAGCTCATCCAAGATTGTATAGTACACTAGCGGCTCATTCCCACTATGATTTACATCCATTTGCTGATCGCTTTAAATGTGCCTCGTCCCCATTTGAAACGGTTTCAGATGCAACTGCAATCGTTTGGACTTGCTTTGAAGTGAGACAAATGCAAAAAAATTGCTCTTTTCAGACACTAGCTTTTTTTGCCAGTCCTTTTGAAAAGGAGCGATTAGCAAGCGTGTTCAGCAA